ATTAATTTAGTAATGCTTGAAATCCAATTATCACACTGAATTTGCCATTATACTTGTGGCGTTGATATCTTTACCGTTTGATTGGCATTTAACTGAACAATTAATTACCCGTTTCGTTCACCACCTTCACCAGCTAATAAGAAGTTTCGTCTTAAATGTGGTTTAATAAAATTTGCCATTTCAGTACGTTCTTCACCCGTATGGTATTTTAACGAGTGGAAGCGTAATTTAAACCTCGCCGCCGCCAGTCCTGAGTACCGATCTACCAAATACCGATGGACTCAGCTAACCAATTTAAGAGAGAATCCGAACTGTAACAAATAACGTTAAGTAATTGGCAAAGCCGTGGATTTACACGTTTTGATTGTAAAACGACAAATATTTGCATCGGCCGTGGTACAATGTTAAATAATCAGGAAATATGCCGTGGTATGAGAACAGAAGCCATGATTTAATGGGGCTCATTTGTTAAGGTTTCATGTGTGAACCTCACCATACGCTAGCTAACTCACATGTCCTGCCACCAGTCTAGCCTCAAGGAAAATACAATAACATGAAATATAGGGAATCTCTAATGAAGCAGGAAATTGACTTCTGTTGGTGTGTTACAGTAGACCTTGGAAAATGGCTTTATCTAATCTATATTACGGTTATTTAAAACAATCAATTACAACATTAGAGACGCACCTACTGACTGACAGCATTTTCATGCTTTCTACTTTAAAAATGCGTGAAAAACCTAAAAGTTTTCGCGTTTTCCGTGAAAAAATATTTTATTTATCTGTCTATTAAGCGCTTTGAAAAACCGCATAATTTAATAAATACGTGACCGATTTGACAATTGCAAATTCCCTCAAATGGCGAAAACAAACTCAGTAAAAATTACATTTTCAAAATTAAAAGCGGTTGGAAACCCGGAAAGTTATCGCGCGTTAAAAGCAGAAAAACACTTGACTCTAAATATTTAGTTTCTCCATTCGTTAGACGAATTCTGAACGCCTTTAAGGGCCAGAAGCGCATTTTTTTTGAAGAACTCAAAATTCAAAGCAAAAAATTCCGCCTTGTTAAACTAAGACGAATGACTGGTCGTGCTCGAAGAACTCCGCACAACAAACATTGGACTAAATTGCATTTCGATGTTGTACACAGACTCTTCTGGCACACTGTTTTGTAGGCAACAAAGTGAAGATTTTACTAGTTTAGAATGTGTTTTATGTCTAAAACAGTGTTGTGGCCGAAGGGCTCGGCTCAATATCGACATCCAACTCAGTCCAATGATTGACCTTTAATGTGGCCACTTCGCTACCTATTTAGCATTGAATAAACCATTTTGCTTGTTTCTTTGTCAGCAAATTTGAATAATTTTTCTAGTTATTTCTCTTTATGTTCTCTTCTATATAATTTTATACGATATTTAGTGTGAGCTCTGCTATCTGTCCATTAACTCAAATACAATCAGCTCAATACCCAACGTATGCGCGGAGTATCTGAATTTTTGTCTGATAATATTTAACTAAACCGGATATTAATAAATCAAGTAATCAATACATTTGTTTCTCATTCCATTTGCTGCCATAGTGATCTTATTTCTTTCGCGTCTATTTCCCGGGTTTTTCTTCATATATCAGGAAATAAAAAGAATATTAAATATATATTTCCTTGTATTGAATTATATTAAATCTATTAGTTTTACTCTCGTTTGTACAATAAATTGCTTATTATTATAAACATTTGTAGATACCCATTTTACTTTCTCATTCGGGTCATTCTTTAATTGTTTTCCCTCATGATGAACCATCCACATCGATTTGATAACCTTTAATTTCCTTCACATTGATGATGGTTTTATTTACAATTTGTCTCAATTTTCTTATATTCTTTCCATAGCTGGAACTGTAATTGCACTTAATTTTATTGAACAGCAATCTGTTTATTTCCAGAACTTATCGCGGCACCATAATTTACAATTCTACAGAATGAAATCAAAATTCATACTTTCTCATTTACCAAGCACTTTTTACCAATCCACTTTTTTCGTAAGATACTAAAACCAATTGATAATAAATTTAAAAGGTATGTACGATTTGCGTTTATCGCTGATTTTGGTTTCAAGCTTTTGAGCAAAACGTTGGATTTTGTGAAAATGATTCTGGTTTGTATGAACATTTTTTTCTGCATCTGTTTTTTGGTTGCACTTTCTCTGAAACCCCCATATGTTTAGAAACATTTAAGAAACCCAAGAAATAAAAAAAAATTAACACTGTACACTATATTTGAACTTTGAGAATTACTAGTGCATGTTTTATCTTTGGATCTGCAACCACTTGGTTCCTGCCTCACAGTTGGAACAGTGAAAACTTCTATTTTCTTTCGATAATCTTTAAACAACCGATGGTTTTTTGCACCCTATCAAATAACGAATATAATCGTCCAGTTTTTTGTACTGTTGATAGTTAGGAGTTTGTTATGGTTGCTTATGGAGTAAATGGCGCTTTACATTGATACCGTAAAAATCTTTATTACATTCAGTTAAAAAGCTTAATGGACTATTGAAAAGTTGCACATGACAGGTCTATATAGATGGTATTTATTAGCTTCGCTGGCTAAGTAATTTCTCGAAATAAATATCCCATAGTTCCCGTCACGGTAGAATCCTGAAAGCCATTTTACAGACATAAATCAGATTCTACTCGGTATCGTCTTTTTCTACCGGCTGTGGATTCAGCAGATAAATTTCTACGGACATTTTTTCTCCCGGTCCACGATAAGAAGAGCCAGCCTAGTGCTTCGGTATTTCTCAGAAACGTTAATGAACCATCTAATTGTCATTTAGAACGGCCGATCAATTAATAATAAAACAAAGTTGACGTCTTACTCGGCCAACTATCTTTCGAATGATTATTTATTACAGGATAACTGATATCCATGCTCTTGTTATATGCGAGTAAAACCTGCTTTGTTCTGAGACATTTTTTGAACCGGCGAGGCCGCATTTTGATTGAAATATTTTGTTCAAATTTTATCGAATAGTTAGTTATTCAGCCTAGGAGAGGTGATTGAAATTCCATAGTCTCGATCAGTGCTTGAAACTGATTAAATATGTTTAAAAAAGTACAGTTTTTGGAGGAGTTTTTTGATAATAAGATCAATGAAAAGTTTCATGATGATCGAAATCTGGGTTTTACGCGGCCGGAAAGTTCTTTCTAAATAAATGTCTGCATCTTCAGTTGTGTAATCGTTTGAAGAACCGAACTCTGAAGATGTAAACCACGTAACGATTTTTGCAAACGATAGATGATCGGTTGAGTGCCATTCCAGTACCTACTGATGATGCATCAAATGAACAAACAGAAGACGCCAATCCTCACTTATCTGCACTTGCAGTGAGTGAATCAAACATCTTTGATTTGGATAATAGGGTGATTTTAATGTCAGTGGGTACCCGATCATAGAACATATCGGCAATCGTGTCGAATAGGTGGCATTCCTCCATAGTGGCAGCACTGAAGGAATGCTGGGTCAAAGGTGGAGAAGCGCATCATTTTGTCGTAATTAAGTCTCCGGCTATTGCAGCGCTCCCTACATCTAATGGACATAATAAGGGGGCGAGGTATAAAGTAATTGCACGCTACGGTACTGATTTATACGGGTACCGAGCTAAGAAAACCATACACCCAACCTATTTTTCCAATGCGAACGACTTTCCTATATCATCTGATAACACTGGCATATCTAGTTTGCAACTACACATCCGATTGATTTTCCCCATCAACACTTTCTGACTTTTTGGAGACAAAAGTAATTTACTTCTTCTTTGGCATTGTTAGGACCTCTTGAACCCGATTTTTACTGCGACTATTTCGGACTATATTAGGAAACTTGATGCTTGTTTAACAGTTCGCCTGGATCAAAACAGGAGTTAAACTAAAACTTAAATAGCGCAAATGTGGGCCGGTTCGCACTTTTCACACTAAATCCATCAAAGACACCAATTGATGAATGAAAAATGACTGATTTATATTAAGATATTCCCCAAGTAATTTTTTTGGATTAGTTAAAAAAATAATTCCTTTCAATAACCGAGTATTCATGACTCAAAAAGTACTTACTTGTGGGGAATGGGAAAAGGTTCAGATTCTAATGTTGTCTTAAGTTGTAAATTAATCGAGCATATAATCTTTAAAAAATCAACTTTTAAGTTGGCGGGAGTACGAAACTTTCAAACACATTTTGTGGAAAAATTCCATATACAAAAAAACTGTTAGAGAAATTCCATTTTCTCAACTCCACAATGTTTTCAGAGTTTGAATAGTTTAGGAAATTTCAAAAAATGTGAAGAACCAGCCTTTGATTCTCAGAAATCGAAGTTTCTTCCCCTGAAAACTACAGTTTCTGCTACAGTTCAACGAAAATTTAATGTTGCATGAAATAGTCAATATCCTCGAACAATGTTGTTTAATTATCCAGATGCGCAAAGGCGCGGCTTATATCGTACGCGAAAGGGCAATTAGCTAATAATTTAGAGCTGGTACTTAATTAATTAATCAGGCTATTTAGACGATTAATAACAAAGTCGTAATTGAATTATGGAGCCTTAAAAGAGTGGATCGCGATCGGTATGCTGTGCAGCCAACGATATACATCATGCAAAGACAACTTCATCTAATCTATACAATCGCAATCGGTCGCTTTAAAAAATTCCTACCATCTCACAATTGAATGATTTATCTTCCTCCTGTCTGAAAGGTTGCCTTCTATTTTGTAACGAAATTAATTTGCGGGCGTGAAACATACTATTTGTGTTATATGAAATATTGCCTAATTAGATAGATTGGTTGGTTAATTTGAAAAAATCACGAAATCTAGGTACAGTTCAGGTTTAATTGAAATGTTAATGTCGGCTTACTGCCGTTAATTCAAATAGTGAACTTTGCCTCCATCTAGAGCCAAGTATAAAAGGAGGGTTTTCAATTTTTTATTATATATTTTTTTAATTCCAGACATTGACGAATGTGCGTCCGCTCCATGCCAAAACGGGGGCACCTGCGTGGATCTGGAGGACGCCTTCAGGTGTGACTGTCCTACAGCGTGGGAAGGCGATCTTTGTCAATTTGGTAAGTTTTGTAATTTTTACGGTAATTTGCATTTCAGTCGGTCAGTTTAATGTACTAGTGGTGTTTGCGATAAGCATGTTTCCCTTTCACTTGTCCAAAATAAATGGGCAGTTCTGGCCGAATTAGGCAATATGCAAATCGATCTTAAGTAGCACTTAATTGGTGTGAATGAGGAAGTTGGTCCGGGAAGATATATTGTTCAACATTCAGAATGAATGAGCTTGTAACTTCGGTTAGGTAACAGTTTGTCACAAAGTGGTTCACATTTTGTGAATGTTTTTTAGTTACTTAATTATCCAGAAAATCCAGAGTACAGATCTGCGATTGAGGAACTAGTAAAGGACTGATTTAGTATAAAGCATGTATCTGCTTTGTTAGGGAACAATTAGATATTATCCACAAGATAAAATTTTTCCAATTGTACTTGTTAATTTTTTACTTATCAATGCAATAAAAGTATTAAATATAAAACTTGTAGAAAGGAAATTATATTTTTAATATACTAAACATTCATGTCAAAACTGTTGTGTTTCTGGATTTAAAAAAATACCAGCTTTCAGGAAATTGACACTGGAATCTTGTAAAAACACGGTGCGTTATTAAGACGGAAGTCTTTTGCTACCATGATATTTACTCAAAACTACTCACAGATTCAAAATTAAAGACTACATCCCAAAATCGTTTTCATCATAGGATAAAATTTTCTGCTAAAACCAAGCAGTTCCGTGTTGGGAAAAAAGTTTGGTACATATACGAAACGTTTTTCGATAAAAAATTAAAGTTGTAATTTCAATATTGATGTAAATCTAACAAAACGTTGACAGAAAAACACACTTTCAAATATGTTTTGTTGTAAAAAAGCAGTATTCTAAAATGGCTCTATTGAATTAACGCTGTTTGCGAATTTTTACCATATAACCAGCAATTATTTTGCAAAAAGTGAATTGAAACGAAACAACCGGGATTAAAAAACAACTAACTTTCTCATTCGTAAAAAAATCCGAAAAACAAACCGGCTGTATTATCTTTATACGTCGACACAAATAAAGTTGGTCCTACAGTGAAGAAGCGCACAGAAAAGAAACAGAAACAAGGATTTTTGTAACTAAGACCTAAATGTAGATTATTGAGATTGAATTGATGAATTGATAAGGAAACACCGATAAGAAAAAACTGTTAGAATATACATATATTATTTAAAGAGAACATTTTTTTAAATACTTTCGGAAAGAATATAAAAATCCTTTTTCACGTGAGACCGATGTAATTGTTTATTAATACTTTTCAGCCCTGATCATCTCTATCTTATGCTACTTTTGACACTGATAAAGAATACTTCTTTAGTGTTTAGCTCAATTGATATATGACATATGATTCCTACATATTTTCAGAATACCGAATACAAAAGAAAAAAATCAATGACTAATGATTGTATTTTAGATTTTACTTGCAACTTTTATTTAATATTAGATTACTTTTTCTGAAATGCATGTGGCGTAAATATATTTAAAAATCATTTTACGGACAATTGCTCGTTTCCCCAAACCATTAATTATGTTTTTTTGTATCGCATTTTGGTACTTTCACTCTCGGATACTAAACTGATACTTTCGTAAAAACTATTTTAAACGTCATGAGAAATTGAATAAAGATGCAGCAGATATGGAAGATGCTTAACAAAAATTGACTTTGATATCGTAACATAAAAACACATCATCTTCCGATATCAGATTCAGGCAAATTTTCATTTGGTGAAATCTTCATCGAACTAATAAACCTTTTCCAGATGCTGACGAGTGCCAGATCCAGAATCCATGCATCAATGCCATGTCTTGCACTAACTTAGTCGGAGATTATCATTGTAAATGTCGAGTGGGTTGGATGGGAAAAAATTGCGATCAAAACATCAACGATTGTGTCGGCCAATGCCAGCATGGAGCCACTTGCATCGACCTGGTGAACGACTATCATTGTGCCTGTCAACCTGGATTCACAGGTAAGTCCGATCATATTAAAGGTAAGCTAACGGTAAGAGGACGTTTTGGTCCAGCCAGTTTCGATCACTTGTTATCTGATCTCTTCAGATGCCGTTAGCAGATATTTTCTAAAAATCGAACATTCACACACATTAAGTTCAGTCCGGTATTTTATTGCTGCATTCTTATTCCACGCTTTGCACGAAGGGAATTCAAATATGCTGTGCTCAAGCATTTGATTTAAACGATCTATTTTATTCAACTAGATCGGGACGCTGTATACGTTGTCTGCGTTGATGTACGGATGAGATGGATGTCTGATCTCGTACATTCCTCTCTATTTTTTTTCGATGCCGCGCTTTTCAACTCGATTTAAAAGATATGGTAATGGTGTTGGATATACGGAAGATGTGGATGTCGTTTTTTCGAATCGAACTATCAGTTTAGTGACGTTTAGTGTGAAATAGCAAACAAGCAAGTTGAGTTTCTTTGCTGCTTTTGCGTAAGTAATTCATTATAATAATGTTTCGGAAACCTGAAGATGTAATTCCATTGAAATTGATTCCAGTGCTCGGCATCGTAATTACTTTTCGTTCAACAAATCAAATTCTTGTTTGAAATTCGACCATTTTTTTAATTTTCAATGCTAAATATCTTAGACTACATTAGGAAGGTCTGACTTACTGATTCGAGAGTAAATGATGATACTCTCGAAGTCTCACTAGTAGATTTTTTTGATTTCGAAACGAGCTTTTAATTGTTCGATATAAGCATAGCGAAAAAAAACCTTGAAAACGCTGAGATTGCAACAAACTCGTATACAGGTTGGGCACATAATTACGGTCTTCATATGGCATAAAAACATCTAAAAAAATGTGCCACGTTTTGAAGCTTTTTTCATTTCATTTACATTTTTTAATCAAATGTACTGATTGCTAACTAATATTTATATTGTGCTGATTAATATCGAATTTGTGTAAAATAACAATAGTTTTGTCTTAATCATAAAATATCTTTTGTGCCTGAAAAGTACCGCTTTCACTTTTCGCTTCGATTTGACATTTACCTGGTGACTTTTTTTCACTTGGGAAAAAACATAGTTGTGCCTTAAAGTACGCAGAGAGTGAGCCTATTTTTGTCACTTTAATATATTAAAAAAACTGTCTTCTTTGAACTAAAACAGAATTAAATTAATAATGTGCTCACTCAACTGTTGTTTTCGACAACTTTTTTAACAGAAAAAGTCGCTTTAGAAGCCTTTAGCTACTGTTTATTTAATACGAAGGTTGTGCCCTTGTGGCCTTACACTAAGTCGCAGTCTCCTATTGATACTTGATAAATTTAAGAAAATCAACAATTTAAATAAAATAAAAAATATAAAAAAATTTAAATATTTTGTGAATTTTTACCTTAGCTTTAACCTTTAAGCTTCTTTGAACTACAAAGAACATTGCATCCTATTTTCGTCTCTCCTGTATATAAAAAAAAATATTGGAGAAATCGCTCGAACCATTACCAGATTTTATTCAAATCAACATACCTATGATTAATTCAGATATACAATGTCCGGAAATAAGTGCAAGTAAATGTTAAATTTCAGAACTTAAAAAAAGGAAGAAAAAGACGGGTTTAAGACTCCTGTATGCTCATGCAAATGCTGCAACACATTTGTAGTTTGTTGATTGAAAATTGAAACGAAACAGTGACTCTTTGCAAAATCTCCCGATGCCATTGAGAATCTTCTCAACTTTCCGTGTCTTCCATACAGACGGTTCTTAGTAATAGTATTAATACACTTTTTCAAATTCATGCTGCAAAATTTAAAAAGATTAGGGTCAACTAATTGCTTTAGGACGTCGCATTTTTTGAAATTGAATCGTTGGTTTTACTTAATTGGTGCAATTTTTAAGTAAATTTTTCCATGTTGATGAAACTGAAAAGACAGAACTGTTGCTATTGCAGTTCTGAAGTGAAGACAGAATCTCACAAATCAAGATACAAAATAAAAATTTGATATGCACGATTTCACCAAATTAAACGTAATTACGACCACTCCTTGAACTACCACATGTTTCTCGCTCATTCTCTATGCGAGCAGCACTCACTGCCGTTTAATAATCGTCATACTCTCACGAAATCTGGTCTACCTTAACGGGTTTACATGAAATTTAAGAACCACCTATGTTATTAACTTTCATACTTCTTTTGTGGTATGTATTCAGCGCTGTTATTTATCGCTTTGAAGCGTTCAAGAACAAGATTCAGTAGTTTCGGGTTTTTGATGGTGTCGCAGCAAATCATTCGTGTGCATATCGAAGACGCACCTGCATGACCAATGAAGTAATTGGCATTTAATCGTATGGGTGTGCCAGAAAAAAAGTAGCACCAGAAATATCTGAAAACTATTTCTTTATTACAGGAAGGGACTGCCATACCGATATAGATGAATGCGCATCCAATCCTTGCAAGAATGGCGGGGAATGTGTAGACCAAGTCAATGGCTACAGGTGTATCTGCCCTGTGGGAATCACTGGGCATGAGTGTGAGGTAAGCAGAGCTTTTCATCATTTTATAAGTGATATATGTATTTATCTTTGGCTTAACAATTAGGCTTGAAATATTACGTTTTGTTTATCTTATAAAATGGCTTATTCTTCTTTATTTTAATCTCAATTTAAGCTTTGAAGAAATACATGGTTCAGTGTAAACAATATTTTTTGATCAATTTACAGTTGAAAAAATACATTTTATGCGTTGTAATTTTCTCTAAGGAAGTACATTTACAATTATCAACATCCCATGGAATGGAATCGATCGGATGAAATTCAGTATATCACACTGTGATCGTTCAAGAATGTTTGTTGTTTTAGCACACATTTTAAAGATGGTTAAAAGCAGAAAAAGATTTAGACGAAAGAATTCTACCACATTTTGGTGGTAGAATATTGAAGAAATCAACAAAAAATACACATTAATGCGTTCAAATTAATAAGAAAATAAAGACAGGCTTAAAGGAAAATTGAAATATCACACAAGATGCGAGGAGCTCAAGAGGAAGACAACTTAATATTGAAATACTAATTTCAACAACTTGAAAGCTCTTTTCTTAATGAAGACCTTATTGATCCCAACTGTATGAGTGTGCAATTTCTACGACAAACCCGGTCAATTTCTTACAGAATTCAGGTCAGGTATAATCAAGAACTAATGAATACAGATCTACTCAATCACGAATTTGTAATGAAAGTGAACCAAAAAAAAAAGAAAAGAAACGCTCCCACAGAACATGATGTATCTCTTTGTAATTAAGTTGTTTTAGAATCAGCGGTTGGTAGCGTTTCGGTCAAAGAATGTAGATGATAGATATGAGAGAATCGGTTTAATGATAAATGTACTAATGTGTATTTTTGCAAAGTTACTTGCAGCTCAAAATGAGGCTGGAAAAATACATTAGCTAGCTAACAATCTACTACATTCAGGAGATTATTAAAATATGGCTGTGTAAAATATTATATTTAGGAAAGGAATTCAGATATTGAAAAATCGCTGCTTTTTAAAGAAACATGTCTAAAAATAGAGCCACAAATCTAGAAATACCAAGATCATACTGAGACACATACGAGATATTGAATTAATGATGACATCTTTCGAGTTCTAAAACGAGCTAAATGTATTGCTTTCATAGAACTTATAGATCTCCTTAAGGAAAACGTTATAAAAATTATCGTAGCAAAATAGAAAAATACTTTTAGAACGGTTTTGCTTTTCTCCATCAAGATTCTCATAAAATCCGATTTTTTCATTTTTTTAAATTCAAAGCAAAGTTTAACAAATTCCGTCTGGATTTAGCAGTTACTTTTAATATAACCGCTCAACAAAATTAACGTTACACATCCAGAGTTGCCCAACTGCGGAACTAGATAAATTCTGATTGTTTAGAGCTTAGATTTGAGTAGATTCACTCAGTACGAGTGAATCAAATAAAAGAACTGTTTATATGCGCTTCTTGAATGGAGAATAACGGACTTTCTCATTGGGCATCGGAGGGTTCTGAACATTTCCGAAGATGACAACATTTGATTTGAATTGAAAATGTGCCAATAAGATTTCCGTTGCGTTTTCGCTATCGACATCTCGGTCACGACGAACGACTATAGAGCATGTATGCGTGCGAGCTCGTTACTCGGCCGAGGCATTTCCGGATTTTCGAACATAGTTGGAATTAGTAACGAGTTAGAACAATCAGTTAAATTCAAATCTGTGAAACACGATTCGGCTTAAATGAATGCTGAACATGCCCGGAACTTTGACCCCAATACAAACGGACAATTTGTCGGGAATGCCCAACAATATTCAAAGAATATTAAGCATATCATGAAAGTGGAAAAGAATATTTCAATGCAAGTTTGCAAACGAAAATGTTTAATTTGACTATGAAAAAATTTCAGAAAAATCTCTCAAACGTACCAGACAATAATTGACCCGATAAATGTTTCTAATAACCTCCTTGACTAGGTAACAAAATATACAAATTATTCTACTACGCCTGAAAAGTATCATAAAATCACGCTTAAAAAGAGTGTTTGATGTGTGGTATTGAGTCGCTTATTGAGCTTTCTCTATTTCATCCAACAAAAAAAAATACAAAACGAAAAATGATTTTTCACATATTCATCACACAGAGAAATGAAAATTTATTATTATTAGAGTTGTTCGAATTCGAAAAAAAACGAATCCATAGGTTGAGGAAAGTGAGACATCGCCAGATAATCGAAGGAAACGAACCAGTGGAAACTAATGAGATAAGCATTACATTAACGGAACAATCGTTTAATTGGCCAGCAGAAAAAGTGTAACACAATCCTGACGGCGATATGAACTGGAAGATATTAAAGATAATCAGTTGCGTTTACGTGAGTTCGTCTTCAGGCAAAACGATTTAAGCCGCTAATGTATACGCGAAGCGGCCGACTGCCCATGGCGACATTTAACCAGGTAATTGAGCACGAAACATGAAAGCACAAACAAAACAAATGCGTATGGAAGCTGCTACTTGCGCCTTCGCTTTGACTGACAAAGCGATTTTTTATTGCTGCCTAATTATGCCTAATTATTTCGAATATATTGATCGTGGATGCCGGGAATCTTGCTAAACAAATGATTAGCTCGGATTTTTAACATTTTTAAATGACTATCGTCGTCGGATAATGATCGCATAATTTATGGACCAGGATTAATATTTAATTGGAAATTAGACAACTTCTGCCAATGGTTGGAATTCAAAGCAACCAGACGTCTGTTCATTAACTAGAAATATTTTGAAAACTGAAATGGTGCATTGGCAGTAGCAGAAAGTTGGAACCAAGAGTCAATCAATTGAAGTAAAAGATTTTGCAAATTAGATTAAGAAAAACCGGCTACTGATTAGAATATAAATTCGTTCAATTTTATTAACCGGAACGATTTTCTATTTGGTTTTATGATCGTCTTTTCGTAGAAACATGCTAATCAAAATCTATGAATTGATGCAGATTGATCTTTGTATATTTATTGGATGGTACTAATTGTGATTAATTAATCAATTTTCTATAGTGTCCAAAGCATTTTCAAAGTGACAACTTACACAGAGATTAGTAGAAGTTCTAGAAGTTTTAATTGTCTTTTTTGAAGGAACATTAAACGATAACTGGAGAGAAAGAGATACAGTTCATGAAGGAAACCTAGAAATAGAAGAAACTGTTTATACTAAAAATCAATTTGTAGATATGACGATATGAAGATAGAAAGTTAAAAGAAGTATAAATGTAAAAAACGAGGACATCAAGAACAAATAAGTGCTTATACAAAACAGTCTCGGGAATTATTAGCGCCCATACCAACAATTATTGGGCGTTGAAAGAACTCTAGAAATGTTCAGTTAAATAGCTTGAAAAATAAACGTTTGAAGTGAAAAATTGAGTTTTGAAAAGTTTGAAATTGAACTAATTTCCACTTTGACGACAGGATAAGAAAGGGAAGGCACCGAACTTGAACTGAACTTTGAAGTAAAAGTTCGCTGTCTTGGACAGTTGCGGAATAGCGATTAAATGAACATGCAAATTTGGGCTCCTATTTCTAACACCTTAGAGTTGCCTCTTAGTTGATTTATCGCGTTTTCGTTTACACAACCTGCTACAGATTTATCGAAGCGACTACTTTTTCAACCTATACCGAATATTTGCATATTTGGATCATTTAGCTGGCCAGTTTTACTGTTACAGTTTAAATTCGAATCCGTAGAAATTGGCTGTGATTAATTTTCCTCAGCTAGGCCGAGGCGAATGTTGCCATAAAACTATATACATAAATAGCAGCCTGAAGCAGAAATGGTAGTAGTATCACAGCCTGTCTATATTAGAGCCATTTATTTTTGTGGCATTTATCTATTTCATGTGGGCCGATTTAGTTGGAATCGGGTAAATCAGTCAATGATTCGTGATAATTCATGTTAAGCAACATTGACCCGAATAGCGTTCGCATTAATTCAATAATTAATCTTTTTCAGAATGACTACGACCATTGCAATCCAGATCCGTGCCAGAATGGGGCACCGTGCTTTAAGGCGCAAAACGACTACTACTGCCATTGTCCAGAGGGTTGGCAAGGGAAGAACTGCAGTCAGGCAAAAATCGTCTGCGATAGTCCACCATGTGAAAGTGGTAAGTTGTTTTGAAGTCAATTTGTTGATCTAGTGTGACTTGTTCGCACCCGACCGAACAACTCTGAAAATGTAGATTGCTTCATTTCAAATCTAGCAAATTGCTTTTTTAGCAACTGGAGCTTGTTAATGTAGCAAAGTAACACTGTTGCACAATACAAGACCTAGATGATGCTTAAATGTCTCAGGTTGACTAAAAACACCAGATTAGTTTAATAATAAGTTAATTACTTACCAAAATAATTTAAAAAATTGAGTGGATTTTACAAAAATTATCCCTCTTGTAAATGGTTGTTGTCTCTTGTTGTCGATATATTCGACATCTAGCAAACTATTATTATAGCTAGACGTAAATGAAGCTTTTTCTGTTGAAAAATTGCGACAATCAGGAATCCAGGCAAATATTTGTTGAAAGGCACATCAGCGTTACAGCGTGTTTGTGGTTAGTTTTTTGATTGTGCTCTTCAAAATTTAGATTGTATAACATTGCCGCACATTCCTAAAGTTTTCCTTTCTAATGAAGACTCTAAATAAGTCCAGTTGGCTACATGAGAAAAGCTTGAAATCCGCGGTTTGTTTGCTTACCAAATGATCTGTTAGGAAAGTCATAATGACTTTGTTTAAGATCTAAGTGAATGTGATCACAACTCAAATCTCATTTTTTCACCATATTGAAGGCAGTGCTCTACTCCAAAGCAACGATTAAGGCCGTGTTGAGTTTATAGATCTCAGTACTAAAATCAGGCATTGAAAAGTTTTGTGAATATTTTTTGTAATATTCCTAAAGTTTTTCTCAACCATCAGAAAAAAAGTTGAACGCGTAAAACCTCCAATAAAACCCCTGAGAGAGTTTTATCTTGTCTATCTGCATACCGCCAGAGTAAGGATGCCCTATCTTGATCCAGCCTGTATAAATGACAGTGGTTTTGAATCACCCTATAGTTTCCGAAGCAATTATCTGCTCGAAAAAGTAATTTAAATATTTGAACTTTCCGACATTATGTTAATTTTGCGTGGTTTGTTGTATTATGTAACTGTATCGAGGCCACATCAATTTGAGCGCTTTAATATTCACGTTTCCTGCATTTAGAAAATCAGAGCATTATTATACAGGGCATGAATCTCGCCGGTGAATCCATAGTTGACAGGTAATTTCAAGACAGAACTGCGATGGAGGGAGCGCAAAATCTGCGGGAAACTTGCGACCCCCCGCCGTGTTTGAAATGAGACCGGACCGGTCCATGGTTTCGTTATTTGTCTGCCACGGTATATATATAGGGTGCTTAATTGACGCGGATGAGTTAAAAACTCCCATGCCGAAGCGTTATAAAAATCCCGAAAAAAGTTCGCCCAATATACACGCTTATTAAAAACGGGAAAATTATTAAATGGGACTGCTTCGCATGGCGGCATTGCAGTTTAGCACTTAGTAAAAAGTGTGGGTATGTCGATGTAGTACATGTATAAACAGTGGTCTGGGCTTTAAGGTCGGCAATAAACATTTTTATCATTATCGCATTAATGGTAATGTTATTACTTTTGACATTGCGAATCGCGGCTTATGACCGAACCGGTTCGCCAATTATTCGGCCAGTCTCTTCTTGCTAGCAGGAGGGTCGTCACAAATCAAAATGTTGAAAGGCAAAACATTGCTCTTGTATTGGCCTTAAAAAAACCCTCACAAATCACAATACAAAATTAAATTATTAAATCCATTGCTACGAAAGTACGGAATAATCAAAATATATCACAATCCGTCTACGCGATTTGTATGAATTTTTCCGAACTTGGGCACCAAATTACTACCGATCTAACTATCATTTGTCTCATTTTTTTCTCTTGAAACCCTATAAATGTTATACTATTTTCGGATTCTGCTTAGAATTTTGAATATTTGTTATTGGAAGCAATGAACTTTACCTTGAAATATCTGTAGACGAAAGCTTATATCTGTGAGGCATTATCAGTTTGGTTTATTTTAACCACGTTTTACAATAAATGCTTGAAAATAGTGCTTCCCACATAAAGTTTATAGGATTCCATAAGAAAATTTTCTATTCCTGTCAAATTTAAAAAAACGAGACACAAAATATTGTTGATCACATTTTGATACGAACTGTTAAAAAAAATTGTTTCAAAACGAAGTTCAGGAAACCGCCCAAAAATAACGTTTTCTAAATAAAAAATTCCCAATTTTGATGTTTTACATATTTAGTATTAAAAATAAGGGTAAGTTTGTCTAAGAGTGTCCATTCCAAGAGTGTTCAGTTTTCGAAATCTTTTTCTAATTTAATATTTTCATATGGCTATTTTGCAGCGGATTTTAAATGTCACTCACTCTGGCTTGCCGCTCACTTTTAGTTGCCAGTACGTTAACTGATAATAATAATCTTACTCTAATAAATTTACTGCAGTTTCGTCATGGCAATTAAAAGTAGCTAATTTTAAAAAAAGAAAATTAAAACACGAAATTGGCAATATTGCGAAAATTTTGGATAAAACAATCTTACCCAAGCTTATTAACGTATATTTTTAATGCTCAATAAGACAAAATCTCCAAAATTGATGCGTTTCCCCAATAAGGTGTTTTCACTTTTTTTTATGTTGATCTATAGAAAGTAGTTATGGCAAACATTACAATGATTTTTTGGGCAAAAAAAGTCTCCATAATAATTTTAAAGCGAATTTAAATTCAAATAAGATATTTTCCGCCAAAAACGCCGAACCCGTATCGTCGGTTCCCTATCCCGATTGTGACGTAGCAGGTCTTATCAACAAAGTGTCTCGTGTTTATTTTGTTGTTTTCGCAGCTTTGTTTTATTATTTAAGTTATTGTGATTATCATTATTTTATTGATTATTATTATTATCTTGCTTAATGGAAAATAGTGACATATGGATCACAAAATAAGTGGTGTTTTGTGCCAGGATGCAAGAATACCTCAATAAGTGCTCCAAACAAACTCTTTCTAACAGTTCCTCATGATTATGCACGTAAAGTTTTATGGTTCAAACCAGCTGGACGTCATGTTCCTAAATCAAAATCAATGTTTTTTTGTTGCGAGGATCATTTTAATGAAAGTACGAACAAAAAGCTAATGATGAGGCAGATAGAATATGCCTTCGATAGTACTTTGTGTTCTGGCCATATTCTACCTTGAAGTGCACAAAGAACCCTCGCGCTTCAATTCCACATATCCGATATCACCATATTGTTCTCGTGATGCCGAAAATACAAATTTAAGAGTTCATTTTACTTTTAAAGCAGCCATGTGTATAAGTTAGGTTAAGTTGAATAACTATAACTAATAAATTCTATATATTATTTACCCAATTTAAACCAATACAGACAGATTAGTATACTTATTAAGAAGAGAGTAACTAATAATGAATTTTCACTTACGCTGCTGCTTTGACACCCTTAAATTCGGCTGAATTAAAGAGTCGTTGTTTTTTAAAAATTCGGTAACCATCAAAATATGTACACATGTTAAGTTTGTTGGCGCTTCAAGGAATCTTCTGAAGCGATTTTTTGGTTTAACACAAACTATAAATTATTTAAATCCACAAAATAATTAATGAAACACAACCACACAACTAAACACAATGCACAGAACGTAAACAATCCGCCATTTATATGACCAGAGACGTCACAACCAATAGGATTGCGTTTTAGAGATTCATGAATAATTTGAATTTTAGCTGAATTTGTTTACTAAATATTTAACAAAATAGCAATAGATAGATAGTATAAACTTATTTAATCTTTCATATATATATTAATGTTCAGTTTGTAGGACTTTTTGATACAATGAAAACACCCTATTAAAATCCATTAAGTGTGAAATTTATTGTCCTTAATCTATAAATTGTTATTTTCAATCGCCCTTTGCCTCATGATTTCGCAAAACTATAAACAGCGGTTAGAATCATATTCGCTAGATGTTGAACAAGTTTAGTTTTGTAAGACTAATTTTTTTTTAAATGTGAGTAAAGTCTTTTTTGACTATCGAAAATTATCATCAGAAAAAAATAATCAGAACTGAAAATTATATTCAAATATGCGTCGTTTTACCTTGAAAAGTCGCATTACGAATATTTTCGATGATGAAAATGTATGTATAGAAGCCCTTAATTACTTTGAAATTCACAACCTGGTAAACAGGGGAATTATTGAATAAGTATATTAATAGAGCAAACCGTTTCTACGATGACTATTTCGATATGGACGCGAATGCACACATACTTAAAGCATTTAGTGGAAAAGCAAACGCAGAAGTGCATGAGATTACTAGATGCAATAGTTGAAAGAGGATAAGCAAAGCTCAAAAATTCCACATTTTTCATCTTCCTTTGTATGATAGTTTGTCGAACAGTGTCCACTATAGGTATTGCAGCTTTCGCATTTTTCATATTTATTTCATCTTTTCTTCTTTGTTGAGAGGTATTTTTTCACAAGCTTTTGTTTTTTTTTTGTAATAACGTCATCGTGTGCCTAAACGATATAAAACCTAGATAAACAAATGAATACCGTTAAATTTTGAACTTCTACAATCTCCTACTTCAATTTGCCATTAAAATTCAAGCCGGATTTAAATAATGGATAAAATGATTGTCGCTTTATCTTGCATTGCAACAGCAACACATCCCAGTAACCACGATTCCCAACCAAGCTTCGCAAGAGAATAAAAAATGAAAAAAAATCGGTCTATTGTATAATGTCCACGACAAAGAACCAACTCACTCAATTAACCTATTGGCAACAATCGTACAATACCAGAATTAACCTCCGAATCGAGATCTAGATAAAGTGATAGCCGCCACGGTATCTTTTCATCGGCGTTATTGTGCCCATACAACATCAGTGACTTGCACCATTCTCGAACCCAAACAGAAGAGTAAACAGTTCTTTCGCTTCTATTGTTGGGCCGCAATTTTTCTATGTCAAACTGTATCATATCGGCCAGTCTGAATAGATGTAAATCGAATTAGATGGTCTTGAATGCAATTAAAGGTGCGATAGATCTTCACTTGGACATGGAGATATGATTTGGGTATTACGTTAAGACCTATAAATGTGATACTCATTAGGCGCATGTATGTGTGATTTATGGATCTAATCGGAAGAGTTGAGACACTGTAGATTAGTGTCTCAGATGACTAGTCTTACAGTTAACTGTTCCTGATTACAATTTAATTAAATATTACCTACATGGGCTTACTTCTGGGCGTTCGTTGGCAACAGGGTTTGTTCAGATGTATCAGATTAAAATACCCGAAACGATCATATTTTATAGTAAGTTTTCCAAAATAAAATGAATGTTCTGAATTGTATTGAGAAAGTATCCAATCATTAAAATAAACGTTTGTTTCAGGTATTCATAGTTGTGTTGTGGTATCAGTTGGAGGAAGCAGAAGCTCGCCACCAAGTCTATGCGGCGAACATGGACATTGTGTTAATCAAGCAGGAATTGGACACAAATGCCAATGCCAGCCGGGATTCACCGGAAAATACTGTCATGAGAGTGAGTTGAAATGTATTTTTCTTGTAAAAACCGCTATATTCACTGTCATACAACCATTCATTCAATCAATTCATAATTGAACTGAAAAGAGAAAAATTCCACCAAAAAAAGAACCGTTTTCAACAAAATATTAGATCGTGAAAATTGTTGCAGATATAAATGACTGCAAAATCAACCCTTGCGAAAATGGTGGTACCTGTGTAGATAAAGTAAACTCATTCCAGTGCATTTGCAATGAAGGCTGGGAAGGAGCCCTCTGTAGCATAAGTAAGTTGATAAACTAGTTATAAATGGTTCAGATAACGTAGAAAATGGTACGGTTTTGTGATGTGCCATTCCAAACCAGACAAAAGTTGAAAGCTTATTGTGTTAGCCAAAATTATTACACGCACTTTAGCACTAAATTCTTACCCAAAAATGTATAGTGCAGCTTTTGGACCCCCTGTATGTAGAACAAACTAGTAAAACTTTCTTGATTTGAAAATTTCTTGAAAAAAACTTTTCGATTCTATTAAGGTATTCGAGTTTATAAAAATCGCACTTACCATCAGGCTTGTACATTTCTGCATCCCGATAATCCTTGGTCACGTTCACAAAAGCGTCAAAAATCCAATGGAAACTTTAAACTATCATCGGAACTCTAATGGAAGCTGTAAACTGTCCTCAAAACAATAACTACGCACTTAATGTTGCACACAAACTTAGGAAATATAGGAAACCCTAAAAGGGCCAATGGTTTTCACGGTACCCATTGAACATTTCAAGAACTCTCGAACGGTAAAATACATATATTATGGAGAATACTTCAATACTTTTTATTTGAGATTTTTCCTTGAAAATTGGCTGTTTTGAGAAGGCTTAGGCTTGTATTTTGGAACCTACACGCTAATCACTAGTTCAATTTTTTTTGCGTATTTAGTCCCGCAACTTCAACATAAAAAAATAAAAATTAACGCCCCATAAAAAAAAATCGCCAAAAACGAATGGCTTAAATATTCCTCGACTTGTGTGAATGTGAATATTTTCTCAGTCGGTACTCTGATTTGAATGTTTTTTTTTGTTGAATCATGGCTCTATTCTTAGGAAAAATGTTCTGAAAATAAGATGAGCAAAAAGTGAATTAAACATATCGTACAGGGTGTTTAAATGGTAAAAAGTTTCATATTTCTGCGGGCAATATGAGGTAGCCCTGGGAGTGAAAGTATACGATGTTCACTGTAAACCTCTCGTCTTCTGAGTAATTTGGATCTTTAGTCGTCTGTTTATCTGAGCCATGCGAGATTTTCATTTTTTATGACCGGTCATATGGCTCCCAAGCAAAATATACTTAATTTTTTTTCTGAAGAACGTTTCTGGCCAAAAAGCGTACATCATTTCTTTACAAGCTAATGTCGCTGTTTATTTTCTCACTCTCGGCGCTCTGTGAATTAAGTTGTTAAAGTTTATATTCCCCTAAGAACAAATTATTCATGTTTTCCCTCCTTAGAATATTGTTTTCTCAAGCTCACACATCGGCAATGAGAGTTTCCCCGTGCAAACTTAAACAAATTGCTTTGCTTTCATTTAAATTGCGAGTGTTTGTTACTTTTGTTTTGAATGCTATAAACTTTATTTTTATAAAAAAACTACTTTCTGGAAAAGGCCTACCCCAATTGGACTTTTTCACTGGAAAATATTCACGATTAAGTAAGTGAATTTCAAAAGTTAAGAAACGCGTCAAACAGTTAACAGAAAATCCCGTGTAAATGATTCTTAAAAACTTAACTGTTTCCATTAATAACTCCCGTTTTTTTTCCGATTTTCACGTTATTTTGCAATATTTGAGATGATTATACGCACGTGTAAAAATTCTTCTAAAATCACCATCATTTTTATTCGGACACGTTTGCAATAGAGTATTAAAAAATACAACTAACTACTTACAATCACTGATGCTGATGGTTCCATTGAAACACTTAAACAAACGTTTAATTTTTTTAGACTCGGATGATTGCGCTCCGAATCCCTGCCGAAACAACGGGAGCTGCATCGACAGAGTGGCGGATTTCGAATGCAATTGCAAAAACGGGTGGAAAGGCAAAACGTGCACTTCAAAGGACAGCCATTGCGATCACACCACCTGCAAAAATGGAGGAACCTGCCAGGACATGGGAAGCAATTTTGCGTGCCGTTGCCCGCCCGACTTCGAAGGCACCACTTGCCATATTGCCAAACAAACTGCTTGCACCTCCAATCCATGCTTAAATGGAGGTGAGTTTGATATTATTCAGTTGCGATGTTCTGTGCCCGACTAAGACAAAAAAAATTAAACCCGTGAGTTTTGGGGGCCTGTAAGTGGTAGTGGGTTAGAATGTCTTCCCGAAGATTCAAGCCACTCGTGCTTGCAATACCTCAGGGCTCAGGAACAAATGATGATCCACTACTTAAGAGTCGAGAAATCGATATTGATATGAATATTTTTCAGGAACGTGTGTGAATACTGGCGACTACTACCAGTGTATATGTCGGGATGGTTTTGAAGGAAACCATTGCCAGGATGATGTAAACGACTGCAGCCCGCAGCCTTGCTACAACGGGGGAAAGTGCATTGATGGAATCAACTGGTTCCTGTGTGAATGCGCCAATGGATTTACCGGTCCCGATTGTCGCATCAATGTGAATGATTGCGCCTCTAATCCGTGCGGATACGGAGCTACTTGCATTGACGGCATTGGCGACTATCAATGCCTTTGTCCTCCGGGACGCCGTGGCCGAAACTGCAACAGTAAGTCGTAGTCCTGAACCAATAGTGGGAAAAATAGGCATGTTCACGTAAAGAAACCAGTCCTGATTTGCTTGTTGTGCACACACAAAACACTTTGTCACTGCCCGAATTTGCTAACTAAAACACTAAACTGCTTAAAGAAGAACATAGGTGAACATAGATAAGTTCTATATTGGTGAGGCGGATTCATTTTTTTACAAACTTCTTTTTGGGTATTTCGCCTCAAAAATTTTTGTCTTTAAAAAAGACAGAATTTCCTCACGTCTTTTATTA